CCTCCCCCGCCGGGCGGACGCCGCCGATGTCACCCTGCCGCATTGCCAGGTCTCCACCGGCGCATCAGGCACGTCACGCCGCCGCCGGTGCTCCACCCGCCGTCGATCCGCCCCAAGCCCGCCGTCGTGGTCTCCGCCGGCGCATCAGGCGCGTCACGCCGCCGTCGGTGCTCCACCCGCCACCAGGTTAGCCCCGTACCCATGCCGCTCGATCCCGAGGACAGCGATGGAATTGGACACGTTTGGATGGGGATGAGCCGTGATAAGCCACTATTTTTGGCTTCTCGCGCGGGGAGGAATGCACTCACCGCGTTTTGCGGGGCTTCTGCCGGCTTCTGGTCACGAGCCATCTCGAGGAGCCAACGTTTGGCATGGCTTCATTAAAAGCCGCTCGAGAAGCTGCTCGATGAGCCGTGCCAAAGGGGAGCTAACTCGAGGTCACCTCCGAGTCTATAAATTTTGCTTTTGTTTTTTTTTTGTTTTGTTTTGTTGATTACATATGTTGTCTTGGCAACCGAGCCTAATAGATCAATGTAAAGCATGCAAACCTGCAATCTGTAGTGTCTATCCTGCCGTTCTTTTCTTTGCAACGAACTCTTGATAATTGATCATCCATGGGCAACTTCATTTAATTTGTACCATCTCTGCTTCGGTCGCAAGCCACGCCAAAATTCTAAGCGGTATTTCCTCGCTGGACTAGCAAAACTACTAATCAGAGGGGTAGAAAGAGCAAGACACTACATTACGTATTTCTCTGAGAACTGAGAACTGATTAGAGGAAGTACAAACTATATCCCTCACCCAAGAAAGCAAGAATACTAAAGTAAAATCTAGAATTGCGTTGGTGTATGTGCAGAAGGCTTGATGGGGATGGCGGACACCTCTTTCTCAAATGTAAAGAGGTCAAAGGTATATGGAGGGAGCTGAACCTGGAAGAGGCGCGACGGGCTGAAGCTAGTTCAGCGAGAAACGTGATGGATTCTGAATCTTGATAAGAGATCGCAGCTAACGATTGTGATGCTATTGTGGCTGTGGTGGGGTGAGTGAACAAATGGAGGGACGAAGGGCGACGGAGAACTGCACGGGAAATTGACCGTCTCCAACGAGACCCAAGCATCTAAGCTTAAAATGGATAACAAGAGACCTAAAATCAGCATCTAACCAACTATTTATATGGAAGATCTATTTTGGATTGACTGAGAGGCACAACCTAAATATGAGCATCCTCTCCTGAAAATTTATTTGTAGAAAGAATTCTTTTTTTGGTTCTGTTGTTGGAGAAGATACCGAATGTGTATTATACCCTTTGCATGTAGTGTTATCCAAAGATTAAATGAGTCTTGTATTTTGGATGGTATGGTTGGAGATGGTCTTATCTGACGGACAGGTTTCAAAAGAAAACAGAACCGAGTCTGCTACATGATAAATTTATCAGAGACAGAAATGGAGGAAACCTCATAGTGGCTTTTTTAAAGTGAACACAGATGGAGATGGAGCTTTTGATAGCGATGCTGGTTCGGGTTCCGTGTTTCATGCTGAACTGCTGGGATGCTTAGCAGGCATGAAGGAAGCGGCAAGGATGGGTTTGCCACGGGTATGCCTGGAGATTGGCGCAACCATGGCGAAGGCAGCGATTGAAGGTGATGAGTATCGGCCATCTGCTCTGGGAGGAATCATCACTGATCTTATAGGCTCATTCTGTGTTTAGAGTTCAGCTCCTGGAATGTGTGTCTGTCCTCGAATTTGTAATAAAACTGCTAGTCCTAATGCTTTAGCAGCTTTTGGGTCATTGGGTGCAGAAGGTCTAGTGGTTCCCAGGTCGTGGGACGCTGTGCCTCAATTCATAGAGGCTTTGTTGATCAGCGATTCAGCTGAATCAGTGCTCTGTTTAGCTCGTTTTACTGATAAGCCATGGTTGAAAATACTGTTGGTTAATTTGGTGTGATAGAAAAATACTGTTCGTTGGCTAAAAAAGTACGACTTATAAGCAAACAAGTCCAAACGAACGGGACGTAGATGAGTAATGAAATTTGCATTGCTTGCGTTGGTGTCTGTCCTTGAGGGCGCTATGCTAGTGGACGAGGTCACATTGAAAGCCTGTCAGACATTATTATAACAAAAATATTGTAAATGAAAATTACTTTTTATAATGTCAAATTATTTCCATTAAAAATAACTTATCTTTATCAATGCTTTTGTAAAAAAAGCTAAAATTAGTTTAACTTCTGAGAAATTTTGATGGGCTAATTTTATCGTTTTATTAGGAAAAAAAGGAAGCAACCTTTTTTTTTTTTGGGCCGAGCCCTGCGTTTGTTGGAGTTTTCTGGAACAAGCCTCCGCAGACCGCAGGTCCTGTAGCCTAAAATTCGTGGACACCATGTACGGCCCAATAGGAATAGTAGCATCTTTCTTTCCTTTCCTATCCTACTCCGGCCTCTCTGCTGCGGTGCTGCCCCACGAGTCACTACGGTGTTTCTTTCTTTGTAAACGCAAATTATCAACCGCGAGACTACATGATAAAGTTGTTGGTCAATGGTCATGCTCCTTTAATAAAATAAAAGGTATTGTCGGTGCAGAAAGTGATCAACACATAAATATTTATAATTTTGTCCTACGTTGTGATCGGAGGTGGCCTAGCACTCAATGACACAGGGTTTATACTGGTTTAGGCAACGTGCCCTACGTCCAGTTTGAGTCGGTCGGTGACTTTATTTCTGAGCTCAGGTGCTCGAAGTTTGTAGTGGGGTTACAAACGAGAAGAAGGAAGAATGGGGGTACAACTGTACAAGAGGTCCGGTCGGACTCTGGTCAGAGAGACCGAGAGTTACGGGAGCTCCGCTATATGCTAAGTGTTCGAACGTGTGCTTGTGGTTTGAACCTAGTGGTTCTGCTGTTGTGTACTTGTGAACTTGATCGATCTGAATCAACATATCTGTTGGAAGAGAACGCATCCCCTTTATAGATGAAGGGGATGGTTTACAAGCGAGAGGGAGGGAGTACGTTCGCCGTTAAGTCTTGCTGCCCACGCCGGCGGGTACAAGACGATGGTAGGCGTCCACAATACTGTTGAATGTTAGATGCACGTGGGAGGTTGTATCGTCTTCTTCAGGATGGCAGATGTCGGTACCTGCTATACTGTTGTTATCGAGAGGCATGCAGGGGGTTTTACCATGTTTACTTGGTACAGTAAATGTCGGTGCCCACAAAACTGTCGACGCCTCAGAGGCACGAGGGGGGAGCCTTACCGTATTTGTCTGGTATGGGAGTTGATGGCGCCCACAACACTGTAGGAAAAATGTCGGCGCCTACAACATTGCTTGCGTTCTGTCATGTCAGGGAGGTCGCAGGGTACTGTCCTGTAGGTGTACAGGGTACGGTCCTCGGTATTGCGGTTGACTTGAGTGCGCTACCTTACTTTCCCTGTCTGTTTCCTTGTCCTTACCGAACGGGTGTCCTCGGTCGGTTGGGCCCAATCGGCTTTGATTGCGCTAGTCGAGGAGGAGCCGTAGATAGGGGTCCGATGTTTTTCCGGTCGGAGAAGCGGGCCGGAGTCGAAAGTGGCGTTTTGGCCAGGCCTTCCGGTCGGAGAGACCGTCCGGAGACGGACTGGAGACCGAAGCGAGCGCTCCGGTCGGAGAGGTGGGCCGGAGTCGAAAGCGGGCGCCGTTCCTCCTCGGTCAGGCCTTCCGGTCGGAGAGACCGTCCGGAGGCGGGCTGGAGTCCGAAGTGAGCGCTCTGGTCGGAGAGGTGGGCCGGAGTCGGAAGCGGGCGTCGTTACTCCTCGGCCAGGCCTTCCGGTCGGAGATTGGATCGTCCTTCTAGCCTGTTGTCTAGGTATTTAGGCCGGCCCATAAGTTGCGCGTTGCTCGCACCGTTGTCTGTTGGGCCAAGTTTTTGTTGAGAAGCCGGTCCACGATGGACCCCGGATTTATGAACCCGACAGGTACTCTCTCCGTCCCTAAAAAAAAGTCGATATGGGAATCGTGCTGATTAAACATTCTCAACTTAGATCAGATTTGTAGAAAATACATGGTATCTCCAAATACATTTATTATAAAAGTATATTCAACGATCTATCTAATGATACTAATTATGTATCATAAATATTAATATTTTATTAAATATATTTGGTCAAAATTAAACGTCGTTGATTTTTTAGGGGACGAGAATTGCTCTTTTTTAGAACAGAGGGAAGTACGCCCTACTAATGTCACCATAGGCCTCGTAGAATTATTTCTTTCCGTTGTTCCATTACATGTTCTTTTGTAAGGCATCTAAAGCAATAAAGGTTCCTTGTTTTCTTTGGTTTCCTAGTTGACTGCTGCAAACCGATCCAGTCCATTAGTAGTATTTTCTAACTTATTTCTAACCAAACATACAAATCCGAATAGAAAATCAAACCAGTAAATTCGGATTGTCTTCCCGTGATCTCTTGACTCTTGGACATGTTCGCTGTGAATCTTTTACAGCCACAGCCGCTGTTGCCGTTGACACCTCAAGACATTGCAAGAAAAAAATCTATTTCTATAATTTTTGCTGTAAAATTAAACTGATTCTCGTGAGCTGATTCTTGTGAGCTGCGAAATTCCAGACGCTCACTGTGTAAACAGTACTAGGTGGCTGTGAAGCAAACAGGAAACACAGCCCCTAGCCCCCTACCAGCGGTGTACGGAGTACCTGCTGCTGCGGGCAGGTGGCAACGCCGCAACGGTCGACTGCTTGAGCGTCTGAGCCTGGCCCGCCTGGCAGCAGCCAGCAGGGCATCCAACGGGCAAGAGCACGAGCACAGAGCAGAAGCGACGCGCGTCCATGGAACACAAATCCCCAACGGTCACAAGGACGGACGGATAGACAGGCACACAGTATAAGAGCCAGCTAGCCGTTACGCATCGGGAAACCTCTCCTCGCCCAAAATCTCCGCCGTCTCCCAGTGCCCGTTCTCCCCCACCGCAGTCCACAACTCACGCTTCCTTCCCAAATCGAACGCAGCCGACAGCCGGATGTCGATTGCGGCGGCCAGATCCCCGTCCCCGGGCCCGCCGGCGAGGCCGTGCTGCGGCCTCAGGAGGAGCGCCGATTCCAGCCCTTTCAGGCCCGCCGCGTCCCCAACAGGTAAGCCGATTTCTCTTATCCCCTAAAGCTCCGTGTCTCGATCTCTTAATTTGCGGAACGTTGCTCTCTCTTTCCCTCGATCTGCCGCTGGTTTCTTACAGATTTTCTTGGGTGATTCACTTCGCAGATTCGCCGCAGAGGAGTTCCTCCGTTTGCAAGAACAGCGGCCGCGCATCGCCGCGGACCTGGGGCGCTGAGAAGGAGAACGACCCGCGGGAGCGGGACGCGGCCGGGACCGGGGCCGCGAGCGCGAGGACGCACAAGGTCCGCTCCAGTGGTGGCGTTTGCGCCGGCGGCGGCGGTGTCGCCAAGAGCTTCATGGCGCCCACCATCTCCGCCGCCTCCAAGGCCGTCGCGCCGTCGGCCACGCCGAGGAAGAAGGTCCTCGGGGAGCGCAACAACGACCCCGTCCCCTCCTCGCCAGTCGACCTCGCGCACAGCAGCAGCAAGCCCAGGGGGCCGCATCCGCCGCCGCCCGACGAGGCGCTGGGCGCACCGAGGCGTCTGCGCCTCTCGCTCGACGGGGCGTCCGCCCCTCCTCCCGCGGCTGGGCCGATCGTCTCCTGCGGCGCCCGCCGGTCGTTCGGAGGCGACGAGGCCGCCGTGATGGTCGAGAATCCCGTTTCCCAGAACGACCACCACGCGGCGGCTTCGGCGGACGCGGAGGCCGTGGCAGCCCCATACGACCCCAAGACGAATTACCTCTCCCCGAGGCCTCGCTACCTGCGCTACCAGCCCAACCGCCGCCTCGAGATTTACCGTCATGGCGGCGGCGCGGTGCGAGGGCTCGAGGACAGATTCGCCTCCGAGAGCAGCAGCGAGGAGGTCGACACTACAACCACCACGGAGGAGGAAGTATCTGGGGAAGAGCAGCCAGATGACTCCTCGGAGGAGGAAACCTCGGCTCTGGCCTCTCCATCGGAGGCCAGAGGTCAGTCTGCTGCTCCAGCCCTGGATGGCGTCCTGCTGCCGCAGCCCGCGCTGGATTCGCCACTAGCTCGGGTCCTGACACCGGAGGGGAAGGAGTCCCCGCGAGCTGGTGGCGTGCTGATACATGAGCAGGAACCTGCAGTGAGCCCCGCGCGAGCTCGTCCCAAGAAGAAGAGGTCATCGATGAGGTTCCTGCTTGCTCCTCTTGCTCTAGTTCTGTTGATGGCTGCAGCGTTTGTCTGTGTGCCACCGCCGCCGGGTCATCCGGTCATGCTGAACACCTCCCTGTCAAAGGTGTCAGACTTTCTTTCAGTTCAAGAATTGCATCCTGTGGAGTTGGCTGCTAGGCTGAAGCAATGGTCTAGCAGTTCGTTGGACTTTGTCACGGCCTACTGGGAGGCTATTGCATCTTACCAAGATCGAGACGTCTTTGGTCCGCACTTAGCTGCCAATTTGAGTGCTGCTGCTGCCGATGTAGATGCAGATTATGCTGTTGGTTTCTACTTCAGTGCTTCTCAGACAAGCCCAATCAGTTTGGAGAAGGAGTTGGGGATTCAGGAGGTTGTTTCAGAAAGTGTTACTGAGATGATTGCAGGGCCTGATGTAGAGGAACTGGCAACATATGGTGACCCTGATGCAGAACCTATTGATGATACTGAAATGGAACAGGAAGATGTATCTGGGGTACCAAGTGCCATGTATGAGGTAAATGTTGATGCAGCATTAGAGGTACTCAATGCTGAGATGGCCGAAGAAGTGTCTGGCAGTAGTGGAGAAGAGACGGCAGCCTTCATTCAGAATTCAGATATTCCTTCTCAATCCACTCCCGAGCCTGAACAAGCAGAGGGCATTGACGAGGCTTCCTTGCAGCAAGATGTTCAGACTGAGGACTCCGAGGGCGATCATGCTGATGGCAAGGAGGATCAGGAAGCTCACCATGGTAAGAAGTTGGGATCAGATATTTGGCCAAGTTACTTGGACAAAATATCAAATCCGGCTGCAATTGGTGCTGCTCTTGCTGCCATTATTGTTCCTGCTGCTCTGGCATACCTTTACATGAGGCAGAAGCAAGCTCGCGTTGCCTCCAATGAACCAGCTGAGCAAGTTGAGCAGATTGAACAAGTTGAGCAGGTTGAACAAGTTGAGAAGGCTGAAAGTCTTTCTGGTTCAGGAAGTAGCCAGGGGCATGTTGTTGCCAAGGGTTCACTGTTTGGCGTAGAAGAAACTGAGAGACTTGGTGGCTCTGGCCCGTCACAGTATAGCAGCAGCTTGTCATCTGGGTTTGGCAGGAGGAGGAATACCAAGGGTGACGACCTTGAGCCAGTAGTGTCGAGGACGAGGAGGGATTCCACAGCTCAATCCACATCGTCTTATGGTAGTTTCACCACATACCAGAAGATCCCTGCCAAGAAAGTAAGCTACAATTGATATTTATCATTTGGTTTTGTTCATTTTGCTTGTTTTATGTCTGGCCTTGTGTTTAACATGTACCGACCTTGTTCTCACTACACAGGGAAACAAGGAGGACGAGGCGATGACCCCAGTCCGGCGCTCCAGCAGGCTGAGGAATGTGAAAACTCCTGAAGCCTAGGATTGGGACAAGCTGGCCTCTGAACTGCCTTTTAGAGGATTTAACTTTTAGATTTAGATACTTGCTATTGCCACTTGGGTTGCTGCTCACTGAAGTATCACGGACATGTCTAGGCATTCAACATATTTGTATGGTGTGATTAACAGCTATCTGTTAGTGTTGATCTCGCGCCTTGACCTCGCGCCCTGATGTACATGGTTGGTGAGCCCTCGTCGCACTGCGCTATAAAGAGAGGTGGGAGCCGGCGGCTCTGAGTACGAGGTTCACCGTGAACCGCCACACCCACCAACAAACCCAATCCGATCTAGTGAGGGGCGCAGCCAGCGACGAGAAGCTCCACTGCCGTCTTCACCGTTGGCTCTGCGCCACCACTGCACTGTGATTGACCTCAACACCCTCACCGCGACACTGCCGACCCGGACCGCATCTCACCTTCGTCATGGCTACGTCGAGCTCTTCATCAAAGCCCGCGGATGGTCGGTGACATCTCACCTCCCTTCCCCTCTCTCTCTAGATCATGTTCTAGAAAGTTTTTATCCCATATGTAAGGTTATACCCGCTAGATCTATGTTTAGGTGATCCACTATGTCTATCATTGGTATCAAAGCCAGATTTAGGCGTAGATCTAGGATTCGGATGAGAGGGACTAACCAAGGCTCCTCCACTGCCGTCGCACCATCGTCGCGCGGGAAGAAAGCCTCGCCGCCGCGCGGGAGAACGAGCCGAGCCAAGCGCCGGCTGGCAAAGAGTGCCGCCGCAGTGGCTCGGGCTCAGGGCACCGGCGCAAGGCCGCTCGACGGCGGCGCGCTCACCCTCGGGCGAACGCGCACGTCGGCGAGGGGGCCTGTAGCGGCGCCACTATCTCGACTTCGGCCACCATGGACGGCCGCCGCTGATGCTCTCCTCACTCGGTGCGGTGCTGAGAAGGAAGCAAGGGGAGGGAGAAAGCAAAATGCTCTAGGGTTCGGGAGGAGCGACCGGGGAGGGGTTTTTGTTCCACCGAAGCGCACCGAGAACCGTTGGATCGGATCCAACGGCTGACAGCGCTTGGGCCTGCTTTAGGCCCAGGCGGGTGAAGAGATTCCTGGCCCAGGCCTAGGTTGCGGCCTAGGCGTGGGGGAGCGGGCGCGCGCGTCGCGTGAAGCAAGCCGCTAGGCTGAGTTTCGTCGCTGGGCCACCGTGTTTCCGCTGGCCCACGCACTGCTACTACGAAATGGGTCGCGGGCCGCATAGCACTGGCCGGCCCAAAATGAACAGTAGCAGATGGTTTTAAGTTTTATAATTTTCAGAAGCAATTTTGATGAATTTTATTAAGTTTAGATGTTTCAATCTTTGCTCAAATTTGAACCAACGGAAAAATTTGTTCAGAGAGTAGATAAATACTAATGAAATGCTTCTGATAATATCATTTTAAGATTATTTTTTCATGTTTCCGCTGCAAAGTTGATGCTTATTATCTTCTAATTAAATTCGAACCAACGGGAAGATTTAATTTTGAAGAGTAGTTATAGTATTCAGTAAATTATGATATTATTATTTTTCTGACCAACTTTGATAATAACAATATTATAATTTTTTATTCATGAGTTTTTCCATGCATTAGTTCTATTTCTGCCCAACGGTGAATTAGAATTAATGTAGAAGCATGTTGTATGTTTTAATTTTGACCAACGTTAAATTACATCATGCAATTATTATGTCATGTTTTCTCACTTTCTTTGATGATGTTTTCAGAACTCAACCCTATGGCATTCATCTCGCACATTCCGTCTCTTGAAGGGGGCAACTATCGCGTATGGCGAGAGAAGTATGAGTTGGCACTTGCGTTGTCCGAGAATGACCTAGCACTTACCTCTCCGTGTCCTATTGAGCCAGTGGATTCGGTGAGGGCAGAGAATGAAACTGATGCTGATTTCACTGCTCGACAACGAGATCATACAGAAGTGAGAATGAAATACGATCTTGATCGTAAGAAGTGGGACATTTCGAACCACAAGTGCTTGATGGTGGCTAAGTCCACTATTTTAGATGCAATAAGGGGATCAATCCCAGATTATGACACTGTCACCGAGTATCTCAAAAAAGTGAAGAGTCAGTTTACTGGCTCTTCAAAGGCTTATGCAAGCACCCTGATCAAGAAGTTATTTAATGTGAAATACTCTAGTGGAGGGATAAGAGAGCACATATTGAAGATGAGGCATCCAAGCTCAAGCCAACGGATTTGGGTCTCAAAGATGAGTTCCTGATTCATTTGGTTTTTGCTTCTTTGCCCAAAGAGTATGAAACTTTTGTTGTTAATTACAACATGCAGCCCGATAAATAGGACATTGAGAAGCTCATTGCCATATGTGTGCAAGAAGAGGAGAGGCTTAAAAGCTCATATGGTGACTCTGCTAACCATGTGAAGGACAATAAAAGGAAGAACTTTAACAAGAATGCCAAACCACAAGGGAAAGCATCTCAGAATGATCACCATCAGAAGAGCAACAATGTCCAAGTTGACAAGGATCAATGCAAAATGGTGCTAGAAGCACGGACATTACCAGAATAACTGTCTAGATTTCTTGAAGAGCCCTTTGAAGAGAGGTGAGGACATTATTACATTCATAGATGAGTCCTTATATTTAAGTTATGCAAAATCTACTTGGTGGATTGACTCAGGTGCAACTATTCATGTTGTAAATTCATTACAGGAATTCTATATGAGGAGGACCCTGCAAAGAGGAGAAAGAAAAATTAAAGTAGCAAATAGAGTTGAAGCTGAAGTTGAAGCCATTGGAGATCTCTCTCTATAACTAGATTATGGTTTTGTACTTCAGCTTTCAGATGTCTTTTATATACTCTCTTTGTGTAGAAATTTGATAAGTGTTTCACGTTTAGACGATGATGGATATGATTGCCATTTTGGTAATGGCAAATGTCAGATTGTGTTTAATAATAAGTGTGTTGGTCTTGCCTTTCGACAAGACAAGCTTTATTTGTTATCACTTTTTGAGAATGTGAATGTTGTGAGCACTGAGAATGAGAATGTCTCCTCGTCTATGAATGCAAGAAATAAGTAGAAGAGAGTTCATGATATATCATCGAAATTATGGCACTGTCGTTTAGGCCATATTTCGACGGGGAATAGAGCGATTGATTAAGAAATCAATTTTTCCGTCATTAGAATTTTTAGATTTAGAACAATACATTGATTGCATAAGAGGAAAGTATGTTAAGAAAATAAAGAAAGATGTCAAATGAAGCGTAGGAATTTTAGAAATAATTCACACAGGCATCTGTGGTCCTTTTCCTATGAAGAGTGTGGATGGTTATGATTCATTTATAACATTCACATATGATTATTCTCGTTATGGCTATATTTATCCAATTAAGGAAAGATCAGAAGCATTGGATAAATTTAAGATATTTAAGACTAAAGTAGAAAATCAGCACAATTTAAAGATTAAGATAGTAAGATCCGACCGTGGGGGGAGTACTATGGTCGACACACCCCATATGGCCAAGTTACTGGACTTTTTGCGAGGTTCTTATAGGAAAATGACATAATTATCCAGTACTCTACACCGAGCGAGCCTCCATAGAATGGAGTAGCTGAAAAACGCAACCGTACCTTAATGGATATGGTGAGAAGTATGATAAGTTACTCTACTCTACCGATAAATTTATGGATGAAGGCGTTAAAAATCGCCATTCATATTCTTAATCGAGTGACAAGCAAGCCGGTGCCCAAAACACCATATGAGTTATGGACAGAAAAAGGAACCCTCACTTAACTATTTACGTGTGTGGGGTTATCTAGCTAAGGCTAAAGTCTTTAATCCAAACATAGGGAAGCTAGACTCTAAGATAGTCAGTTGCCATTTCATTGGCTATTCAGAAAAGTCAAAAGGTTATCGCTTCTATTGTCCTGACAGATATACGAAGTTTGTAGAAACAAGACATGCTGTGTTCTTGGAGGAAGAGTTGATCAGGGGGAGCATGGTAGTGCGAAAATTAACCTAGAGGAGAAGCGGGTACATGTGCCTACTTCGATGGTTTAGGAGCCATTCTTCACGCTACCAGTTGTTGCTGCACCAACAGTGTAAGACACTGTGGTAACAGCATCTGTTGTTAGTTCTCCTGTGACGACAATGAATGAACATGAGGAACCTGTCCTTCAGGATCCTGTAGAACCCGTTGTCACACATGAGGAAGAGTAACAATAGCCTCATATAGAACAAGCGTCAACTAACGAGGCGCTTAGAAGGTCTCAAAGAGTCAAAAAACCAGTCATTCCTGATGCCTACGAAGTCTATGAATGTGAAGAATTTTAAATGGAGGGTGATCCCACCTCATTTGAAGAAGCCATGAGAAGCGCTCACTCATCAAAGTGGCTTGAAGCCATACAAGATGAAATGATATTAATGAATACCGACGGTGTTTGGGATTTAGAAATAATTTCTAAAGGAACCAAGATAGTAGACTGTAAATGGATCTACAAAACTAAATATGACTCCAAAGAGAATGTAGAAAGATTTAAAGCGTGACTTGTGGCGAAAGGCTTCATGCAAAGAAAAGGCATAGATTACAATAAGACACTTTCTCCAGTCTCAAGTAAGGATTCTTTTAGAATTATAATGGCGCTTGTAGCACATTATGATTTAGAATTACATCAGATAGATGTAAAGACGGCGTTCCTAATCGGGGATTTAGAGGAAAATGTTTACATGGCACAACCAAAAGGTTTTGTTGTGGAAAAAAAAGAACATATGGGATGACGCCTGAAGAAATCCATTTACGGATTAAATCAAGCATCAAGACAATGGTATTTAAAGTTTGATAGTACAATAGGGAAGTTTGGGTTTCAAAAAAAAAATAGAGGACAATTGCGTTTATGCAAAGTTCAAGAATGAGAAATACATTTTTCTAATCCAGTATGTGGATGATGAAAGAATCAAGATGCCCAAGAGGAGGGGTGAATTGGGCTAATTCTAAATTTCTTTGCAATAATTAAACCC